AACTAATATATGTAAATATAACTCTACAAAGTGAAGGATTGGACAAGTCTCAACTTAATAAATTACTATATATTAACATTTCACGAGTTGAATAAAATAACAAATTAAAGATGATTCAAGTTCATTTTTTAATTGAATTTATTCTTTCATATCAATTATCGGGCCCTAGAATTGATCCTCCCCAATTTTAAAATGCTCCAATTGGGAATAAATCATCTAATTATACTATTTAGATTTGTTTCCTAAATTATTGCATTTGAATTTTATGTCTATCCGAAACATTAACCCCATCACCAGTATTTTAGACTATATTGTCAAAAATAAAATAAAAAACATTACGTAAACATGAGTCCACTTGGAAGATATTGCAAACATCATAAATATGGTCAAATAATTTTATCTTTTTTTTTCTATTGTTGCCTCTTTCATGGAGAATATTTTTTTGTTATTAGTATAATTTTTAGAGTTTTAGAATAGATTCTTGCTCTATTCCTTATTTGTCCATTAAGTACGAAATATGTGAAGTTTGTCTATATGCTACAAAGAACAAATCAACAAATCATTCCACTATCACTCTGATGAATCATTTTCCACCTATAATTTTTAGAATTTTGGAATAATTTTTTGCCTTATTCCTTATTTGTTTATTGAGTGCGTTTTCCGCTAAAAATGATATAATGCTGAGTTGGATATGATAATAAGATTATTAAAAGTGTACTTTGATTATGAAAGCTTAAGAAAAACTTTATTCTAAGAGCAATAAATGAAAAAACAGACAAAACCTATATGACCCCTTTTTTTCCCACACTACATGCACCTATATGACTAGCTAGATGTATAATTTATAGTTAAAATACAAATGATGATAGATAATTATGCTAAAATACACATTAACTGTCATAATCTTCAACTTGAATTATCCATCAAAGGGGTCAAAATCCTTAGATTTTCTTCTATTTTTAATCAGATTTTATTTTGGTTATCTTTTTTTAATTTCAGGGCATAATCTTTGTAACGAATCATTTATATGATGACATAGACATTAATTGGCTATTAGCAAATAGCAAGATGCCTATGTAAGAATGAAATTAAAAATTTCCTAATTTTGTATGTGACATTGATTTAATTATTTAAATAATAATTAACCAAGAATAATTCACTAAAATCATACCTGGAATGTACGTCAGGACTAGTAAATGAGTATAGACGTATTTATAAACAAGAATATTCAATAATTATAATATTAACTAATCACTTCCCACTTCCCTTTAACATTATTAAATAAAAAATATTTTTTTTAAAACAAAAAAAGAACATGTTGGTCTTATATTAGATACGAATTCAGTAACTTTTGCTTAGTTATTATATTTGTCTTGGTCATTTACCATTTAAGTGAGTCAAATTAATTAATTTTAATCGTGGATCAAATCAAGACGTATAATTTGGATTAAGACTAAAGTTTTGTTGTGTCCTTTATGTTTGTTACTCCAGAACATGAAACATTACATATGTTCTATGTACTTGCATCAAATTAATTAGCCACTATGTGTTGTCGTTAATTGTGTTCTAATCAGACTTGATTAACCATCTGAATATTAGGACCTATAAATGTTTATCAAATTCTTCTATTGACAAAGACTAATTAAGAAATAAATTTGTGGTGGTTATGGAGGAACTAAAAGCAACAATGAAGTTACATCATTTTCTTCACTAACAAACAGAAACAAGTAGTTGAAAATAATAAATTCAAGATGGGCCAAGGGATTCACATTAATAATTCTACATGCTATTCTTAGAATTTGGTCTTGATTCACATATGATACACACCTGCAACGCACGTGATTGTCAGATACTGATAAATAAAAAGTGGGTCAAGAGATTATTCAGAACGATAAATACGTAGTATATTTATTCATAATTACTAACATACGTTGGTGGGTTGGGTGGGTGTTAGTTAAGAGCATCATTCCTAAAAATGAATCTTGTAAGGCATGAATTTGAATTTATAAGTCAGACACCAATATTGATATCGATACCAAATGCAAAACAAAATAAAAGAGAAAGAAAGAGACTCATAGATAGTGATTATAGCACATTTATGTTGAAGTCCACAAAACCTAACTTAGTTGGTATTTTGGAAAGAGCCATATCTAATTGTATCCACTTACGTCTATAACAAGTTCTTTTTTTATTTTTATAAATATTTATATTTATATATGGAAGAAAACTCAAAGTGCTCTTAGGTTTTGGTCAATATACTTTAGGCAACTCATGAAATTTGGAAAATCTTTAAGTGAATTTTTTTTAGGTCTCTTGTTTTTTTTTGGTTTGGTTTGGGGTGCGTGGGGGGAGGGGCTAATTAACTAGATATATACTGTAAATGTTTTATATAAATTATAATCATGTCTTTATATAAAAAGTAAATTTTGTAATTTTGAAATTACGCTATTACTTTCATAATATTATAAAAAAAAAAACTACGTTATTACTGATAAATTGCCTACATCGAGTGAAATTAATTTCATAGTGTAAAAATTATTTATTATATCATTATATATAAGTTAAACTGTTGAATGGATAGTATACGAGCTTTATTATAACAAAAGTACGGCTTAGAAGGTAGGACACGTTAATAATTAAGTAGTCAAAGTATGTATACATTAATTATTATACATATACTATATATCTCAACAAGTGGACCTAATTATTGTCACAAATATTGCAGTTGGTCAATTATTTGAAATCTAACCATAGCCAACTATTGAAGACGTAGACTCAATCTAAGACGTACTCAACAAGTTCTTCCTCTACTGTTCATACATAACTACTTTTTTTTTTTTTGGTTGTTGATAATTATGGTGTTACGAGAGGAAATCGTATAGTATTTTTATCACCAAAATTTGAACCTAACACTTTATAGTCGTTCTTCTCCCACTTCATTATTTTCGGACAATATTTAGTAAAATGGATATTTTGAAGTATTTATATATAGGATATACCAACATGCAATCGTGATTGAGGTATAGTGGTAAATATTTATTCATCTTTAATTAGAAATCTTGGATTAGAACCTTAATTATGATATTGTATTTGTACTTAAAGAGCCATTTATCCCTTAAAACTTTCCGACATAAATTTAAATTTAATCGGACTACAACGTAAATAACGTATATCAGGTGAGAAATAATAATAGTATATAAACTTCAGTACTGATGCATAGGTGCAAGTAATATTGCACAACAATATATTAAATTTGTAAAATTTGCATCTTTTCATATGAACATGGTAGCCATCCATCCACCAATAGGAATGCGACAAAGAAAATAATTCTGTTTAATTGAGTCTTTTCGTAATTATTTTTTAACTTAATTAGTTGCAATATTTAAAGCAATAATTAGGTACCACTAGTTTCTAATTTTTAACCTGATTAAGCAAATTTAATTAGTAAGACAGATCCATAATCAATGCTTAGATTTCCTTCGTGTGTTTTATAGCTTTATTAATTCAATCCATATGCTCATCAATCATCATTAACTTAATATTACTTCCTTCAGTTCAGGGAAGATAGACACTAATCAATTAGTATTAATTAATTTATTAAATGGAGGTCTAATTTCTTAATATTAATTAGTTGCAAACTGCAGTGCAAATACTATAATGCAACTCTAGGCTATATTATTATTGCCTAGCACCAAGGTCCTCAATATTTTATTAATATATTACCTTATGAACATCATTTAGACAAAAAAATTATGATTAGGAAACCACGGTCGTTAGCCTTTGCGCGTATAAATAGAAGAGGTAAATAATACTGGATAAGACTTATACCGTTATACAATAAGCTCAATAAAAGAACATGCATATTATTTTGAACTTGAGAGTTGACACCCCTCATTTGAAAGATTCCTTGCTCAACTATTTTAGCTATCCTTGCGAATGCATCATTTAGATTTTAGACAAGTTGAATTTTTGGTAATTAATTTACATATTATTGTGATGGTATAGTTATATATTACTCCAATCGTTTTTAATATTTCCCATTGTTCATAATAAATGGAGACTTGCTAAACTTTTATTAAGTCATCTACATAATATAAAAAACGTTATTGCAGAGAACAATTCAACAACTAATAGGTTAAAATACAAACTATGAGTTCCAATCAAATTAGACAACCTTTTTAGTTTTTGTTCATCTTTCAATTATATATATTAAGAAGAATAACTTGTAAATCAACACCAAATTACTTATTATTTTTACAAAAAACAACTACTGCAGAGAAATCTAGCTGTATTATAGAAATAGTCTCGAGTTCAAGCTAGTGTGTAGATACAAAGTCATCTTTATCAACAAATTTCAATAATTTAATTGATAGACTATTTAAATTTTCACCTTATTAATACGGATTTGATTCGCCGAAAAAACAAAAGAACGGACCCGTCAACCAGTCCTTCCGCCCACGTGAAGGCTTCCTTGTATATGTCCCCACGCAAAGATCCTCCGTATCCCTTAATGGGCCCCATTAAAACCCGGGCCCATCAAAGTTCACTCGTGTCAGGCCTCATCCTCGCACGTGACTATTCTCTTCCCATCTTCACTTTCCTCTCTTCTCTATTTTTTTGTCCTATAAATACCCATCTTGTATCTCACATCATAGACAAAATCTCAAATTAACTCATAAACTTTACTATAAACTTTTTCTTTTCTTTTTAGCAAATATGAACATTTCTTACACCTTCAAATATCTTTTGACGTTATTAATGATTTGCTCTTGAGAAAAAAAAAGGATTTTTGAGAATCTTTTGCATGTTTTTGATTTTGGTAAATCTTTAAAGTGTAATCTGTCTTACGTTAGTCCCACGCTTCTGCTGACGATCCTGGTACTTCTCTTCCTGCCACAAGATTTTGTTCCCTTTTCCCAAAGTCGTGGTATTTTAAATTTTGAATCCGCCTTTATATACGAACAAGTTCCTCCTTCCTCTTTACAATTTTTAGTTTCACTATGGCTACGAAATTATTGTTAACGTTAGCGATATGTCGCTTAATTGTTACCGTGGGATTTACTTTTAACCCGAATGACCTTTTACTGCTCGGGCTCAATGGGAAACTCAGCGTGGCTCCAGCCGATTTACAATCCGCTTCGGTTGATTTCGGCGGAGTGTATAAAGCCGAGCCGATGGCGGTTCTTCACCCGGCTACATCCGAGGATGTAGCGCGGTTAGTGAAGGCCGCGTACGACTCGGCTCGTGGGTTCACCGTGTCGGCTAGAGGTCATGGACATTCTATAAATGGTCAAGCCATGACGACAAATGGCGTTGTGGTTCAAATGAGCGGCGGTGGCGGCTCGAAAAATAAGATGTTAACTATTTCGGAGAAATTCATGTACGCTGATGTTTGGGGTGGAGAGTTATGGATTGATGTGTTGACGTCCACATTAGAATACGGTCTCGCACCGAAATCATGGACTGATTATTTGTACTTAACTGTGGGTGGTACTCTCTCTAATGCTGGAATTAGTGGTCAAGCTTTTAATCATGGCCCTCAAATTAGCAATGTCCATGAACTCGATGTTGTTACAGGTATGATTAACTTTTTTTATACTGTCAGTGTATATATCTTACGAAAAAAGTTCATTTTTCGTAATAGCTTTTGTTATGAAAGAAAGTGGTTTGCCAGATATGTAACTTTAGAACAATAACATGGGATGTCAGGATAGATGGGGTTTTTTTCCCCAACAATACCTTTTGTGTTAATTTTGAACCCTTTTTAATATATTTTTTCAGAATATGTTTAGTTTAGATATATGTACTTCATGAAATTGTGGATGTACTACCACATGGGATGTTTTGTTTTTAAGCTTAGCTACTTATAGGGTATAATCATTGTAATTAGCAAGTACCAATAATTATGTTAAAATCATTGCCATAATTATTGAGATAAAATTGGAAACAAATTAGTTTATGATTAGTACCATTTTATCATAATTGATGTGACATATGTTTGAAAACAGGTAAGGGTGAGCTATTGACATGTTCAGAAAAAGAAAATTCTGAGCTGTTTCAAGCCGTTCTTGGTGGATTAGGACAATTTGGGATCATAACAAGAGCAAGAATTGCACTTGAACAAGCTCCTCAAAGGGTATATACATATATTTTTTTCTACCTTATACTAATTAAAGTCCGTGTACATCTCACTCTTTTCGAACTGAATAAATTACTTGTGTTTGTGAAATTATACTGAATAAGAGTATATTGTTCTTGTTATACTTTCCATGGTGGGGCTTTAATTTTTTTCTTCTTAGTATTAGTTTTTGGACAAGACACGAAAGGAGGTGGCATAATTCATGACATATGAGAAATGAAATATGGGTCCTTTGTTTGTAGCTTTTTCCAACTTCATTTTAAAAACCGTTGTCACTGTTAATGTTGACATCACATTTAATTTTCACAAAGTGATGTTGTCATAATTTTTATTTAGTGAATTACGCTTGACTATAATAGGCTTATAGTCAACGTAAATTTTTTAATCAAATACATTACAAATCCTCATAAATGGTTGTATCAAATAAACTATTTTAATTTTATAGGTTACTATTCAACTCTGCTTTTTTTAGTACGTAGAAGCTAAACTCGTTTATTTAATGTGTACGCAGGTGAGGTGGATTCGAGTACTATATTCCAATTTTTCAACATTTACACAAGACCAAGAATATTTAATATCATTGCATGGAAAACCAGCTTCACAAAAATTTGATTATGTTGAAGGATTTGTTATAGTTGATGAAGGTTTGATAAATAATTGGAGGTCTTCTTTTTTCTCACCAAGTAACCCTGTGAAAATTTCTTCTCTCAAGGCTGAAGGAGGTGTTTTATATTGCTTGGAAATTACCAAAAATTATCACCTTTCAAATGCTGATACCATTGATCAGGTTTGTTCCCACTATATTCTATTGAAAATTATAATAACACCGACAACATACTCCGTATAATTTCGCAAAATATAAAATCTACGGAGGGTAAGATATAAGCAGATCTTACCCCTACCGACGATATAAGATTACGGTTATATAATCCGTCTTATTTTCAAGATTATAAATTTCACATAAGTGACCAAATAGTTAAAATATTTTATGCTTATAGTGCATATAACTTAAGCTTGATTAAAATATTATGCATATTTTGGTTAAATATATTATATTGTTGCTACATCATTATTATGTTTTCTTGATAGATTACTTAAGTAAAAAAAAGTGTCTTTTTTTTTAGTTTAATTAGTTTCTTGATTCCTTCACACATGATGCACACTATTGCTAATTTGAAATTAAAAGATGGATAAAGTTGATGATCTATCGATGCTATATAAACTTTAGCTTTAATTAGCTCTCTGATTAATGCATGTTTAGTGCGAATAAAGCCTGTAAAGTATACAATTAGTATTTTTGCTAATAGGTGGCGATACTATGCCTTAGAGTCCTATTTTTCTTCTTTTATTTTACCTACTCAATCTTCTTAGATATTGATAACCTATACAAAATTATTTTATTTTGTGTCTGATTACCGATATACATTATTCCCAAAAATCATTTCATACTAAAATAATAGGCGTGAGATAACTAATCTTATGAAATATTATTATATATTCCATGTCGATAGCCAAACGACTTGGACTAATTAGTTAATCTAATTTTAGATTAGCAAGACTAAGAAATGTGGTATGCTATTTAATTAATTTCTGACATTAGAAAAATAAGAACATTCTACCAAGCTTATCTGTCGTTATTCCTGTTCGGTACATATCCAAAACAATTTTTTTTAAACAAAATATTTTTTAAAGTATAATTATTTTATTTGATGACAGAATTTTACGTAAAAAGATGGAACACAACATGCACAAGAAAACATGGAAGATCTTCCATAATCTATCAGATCCTAAGATAGAAATTATTTTTCTAAAAAAATATTACTATTATATTTTATTACTCCTATAATATATGATTATTTAATTATATCTAAGCCATCCAGTGACCACCCACCAATATTTATTCCCTAAGTCTAATAATTCTGTTAATTTTTTGAATTTTTAATTAGAGTTTGCATTAAAATAAAGATAAAAAGTTCATTTTTTTTGTACTTTGATTTTATTATTTAATCTTAATATTTTTTTAATGAAAATGCAGGAGATTGAAATATTATTGAAAAAATTAAATTATATACCAGCTTCAGAGTTCAGAACGGACCTTCCTTACGTGGATTTTTTGGACCGGGTTCACAAGGCCGAGTTAAAACTCCGGTCTAAAGGTTTATGGGAAGTGCCACATCCATGGCTAAACTTATTTGTACCAAAATCAAGAATTGCTGAGTTTGATAAAGGAGTATTTAAGGGCATTTTGGGAAACAAAACTAGTGGTCCAATACTCATATACCCTATGAACAAAAACAAGTAAGTTCTCGTCCCTTGTAAATTTACTTTTATACCCTTGACTCCAATTCAGAATTTTTAATTTATAATAAGTTCTGAACATTAAAAAGGACAATTTAGCGAATTCTGAATGAGTTAAGTAGATTTTTAATATATATAAGTATGAAATTTGACCAAAACTACTCAGTTCTGTCACATTCATAACTAGTATAAAGCATGTGTGGTTGTTCGTTCATATAGGTAATCTTTTGCAACATGTTATAATATGATGATAGTAAAACACAATATACTGGGTTAAATCCAACAATAATATGTATGATTGAATTGTATGACTATATCATCTAAAAACTTAATCTGTTTGGAAAAAAACACTCAATTAGTATTTATTAATATATATGTTGACATGCATGATATATTTGTACAGTCATCTACCTCTGTCTGTTTCTTACGTTGATTGTCCTTGCATGCATGCAACAAAACACTATATGTATATGATTTATGTATAATGAATATGAATATACTATATACATACTTTGTTGTGCCATTAATTTACTCATCATCATGACACAAACTTTTGTAGAACTAGTGATATGTCCATGTCATGTCATGGAATACTACTCACAAATTTGGATTATATGTTCATCAGACATCTCACCCAATTTTCTCAATTTTATCGTAAATTACGAAATACGTAAAAAAATCAATTTTTTCAACAAACATTCGTATAGTATATGGTCCATTTGTTAATAATGGTCCCTAGCTACCTTTCTAAATGGCTTAAAAGTGATCCCTCAGTTTCTACTTTTTCGTGCAGAGTTTTTGCTGTAATTTTGTTTTGTCCTAGCTACCAAACAAACAGTAAAATAATTTTGTCTAGTAAATAGCAACGAATCCAATATAGGAATAAAGACAAAGTCAATAAAGTAGGAGTCGAGTTGAGAATATAATTGACGTGTTGAGTTGGAGTTATATTATATATGAATTATTAAGTTAAAATAGTTCAAAAATACATTTAATAATATATGATATTGTCTGCTTTGAACATTACTCTTAAAGAAAAATGTACCAAAAACCTTGACCCTCTAAATATAGGGGCGGAGCTAGGTTTAGAGGTTCATTCGAGTTTCCTTTGATAGAACATATATCACTAATTTATGTATACATAATAGGTGTTAAACTCCTTCGTTTATTCGTATATTTACTTTTTTATATTTATAACCTTTTTTAAAAAAATTATGACTCCACGACTGTCTACAGATCCTACTCCAATGCTTTGTGGTCAGTGGTTTATTTCCGTTGTCGTATGATATGTGGCATGTCCACCTAAACACGTGGCACACATGCATGATTTTCCAGCTAGGATAATTAGAACTTTTTTTTAATTTTCAAATAAATCCAATAATAATTAGAAATGGTCCAAATTAAACATTCAAGATCTTGTCAGGAAGATCCTCCTTAAGGGGACCAATTTTATTTGGCTTATGTAACAGTTACTACTTCCTAACCTCATTAAAAAAACAACTCATGAATATTCGAAAATCATCTTCTAGTACCATATAGTCCAATTAATACGACAAATTTATTCATTTTTTAAAAAAAATTATCGCTTACGAAAAATCATGTGTATTTCAGATGGGACGATAGGAGTTCGGTAGTTACACCAGAAGAAGATGTGTTTTACTTGGTCGCGTTTTTGAGGTCTGCATTGGAGAATGGTGATGAGACACAAACGTTGGATTACCTAAGTAATCAAAATTATGAAATATTGAAGTTTTGTGAGGATGAAAAGATCAATGTGAAACAATATTTGCCTCATTATGACAATCAAAGAGAATGGAGGGACCATTTTGGAGAAAAATATTGGACAAGATTTCAACAAAGAAAATTAGAGTTTGATCCAAGGCATATATTAGCAACCGGCCAAAAGATTTTTATGCCTTCTTTTAATCCTAATATTGCTACTTGGTGACGTTTGATTAGCTATTAATTAATTGGTATTAGTTATTAATTAGGATTTAGGATTAGTTGAGATCAGAATTAGTTAGTTGTAGATTTTATAGTATCATGTTTAGTGTATTTTATGTACATATCAAGTGGGAAAAAAGAGCAAAAATTATTAATTCACTTAATTATTTAGTAAAGAAGAAATCTTCGTCCCAATGATTGGGTTTCGAGTTTAATCTATGTTCTTTTTTTTTTCTACGCAAAGATGTTTGATATCTGCTTTGTGATTTGACGACCAATTTTAATTTGTATAGAAGATTCCAATTTCAAAGGTAATACGTTTTCTATAATAAATTTATATAAATATCGCGTGCGTAAATGTATTTACTTATATTAGGAATTCGTAATTTCTTCGTTTTTTTTTTCTCTTTGTTAAAGTGTAGTACGGTTGAGGAGTGGTTGGTACCAAAATTTTGTCATTTTGCACACATAAAGTTTGCATTATTTGGCAGGGCATCATATTTTCTTCATGAATATGACGTATCAATTAAGAGGTCATCTTCAAGAATATTTCACAAAAAATTATAATAAAAGAAGAAAAAGACTTGTGTTCTCACAAAAAATATAATAATTAGAGAAGCTTTGCATTTGCGAATTAGAATTATTGTTAAGAGAATACTATTAAAGCGAGATTGGGAACACTTTTGAAAAACTCTCTCGGGTTATCCCTTTTCCGAGATAATTGTTTAGTAAATGATCCTTCGTTTTAACATAAAATAAAATTATAGACCTTTTAGATAGCGTTACAGATTTGTGTATATCAATCACCATTTCTGCAGTAGATTAGTGCGTATTTTGCTTCTTGGGCTGGACCCAATTTTCTGTTAATCGCTGCGGTTGGCCCAATACGTATTGGGCTTCCTTTATAAATGGGCTCATTTTCTCGATATGCTTTGTGGATGAGCCCATGTTAACGGGTTTGCTATCTAATTTTATGAAGGGAAAATTACGTGAGTTGGCAAACATCCCTAAGTAATTAATTAATAAGGGTATAGTTTAATTTATTTACTGTCAGTAATTATAGTTTCAGTTTTTTTGCCATAATTAATGGGACCCACCACCTCTTTCTATACTGAACCAACAAAGACCTTCTTATGCTTTTGTATATAATTTTATTAGAGCTGTCAATATGAGCTAACCCACCCCATCCGGGCTAACCCATACAGGCTTTGACATTTTACGGGTCAGGTCGGGCTAGCCCATTTTTGGTGTGGGCCAGAAAACGGTCGGCCCAGCCCACAAGTACGTGTGCTACAGGCTTGCCGGCCCAGCACACTTTTTTAAAATTATATTAAACGGTCGAATTATTAAAATAAATTATAAATTATAATTTAAAAATATTATCATAAATAGCGACAAAACAATATTACATGGTGTTAATGTTACTACTTGTTAATCAAATCCACAAATAAAATTATCTTTATAATATTTATTAAGGTTTTTTCAAATAAAAGTATAAATATCTAAATAGAAATATTAACCTAATTGTTTTGTCACATTAAAACACAAAAAATGTGACAATATTCCAACCATAAAAAAAGTTAAAAATAAACTCCTTAAAAAAAATTTATGAAACTTATGGCGTATCTAACACATCATGAAATCTATGGCGTATCCAACACTTCATGATCATCTTCATCAAGCATATCTGAATTAGCTTGTGGCAAGGTTGTCTTAACATCTGAATTTTCATCTGCAATTTATATGCGGTTTCAATTAGTTAAATATTAAATAGATTTTGACTTTGGACTCTCTTTAATTTTAAATTTAATATTATATTATGTTTTTTTTTTTTATTATTTGTCCCACGGGCCGGCCCTACCTATATTTCTCAAGCCCCACAAATTAGCAGGCTTATTTAGGCCGGGCTAAAAAGCCCTTTTCTTAAATGGGCTCTAAAAATCTTAGCCCAGCCCTATTAAATTTTGGGTTAGGCCAGGCCGACCCAACGGGCCTAGCCCATATTGACGGCTCTAAATTTTATACAGAATCAATTTTCTCTCTCCTATCCACATTCTATATCTTTCTCCTAAAATCACTCTTCCACTTCTAATTTGAATTTTGAATTGAGTAAATTTCACCTCCTCCCTCCAGTCGTGCTTTCAATTTTCGCAGGTAACCGTCAAAATTGTGGGTGAATCCATTTTTTTTGTTTTTTCCTTCTTCATCAATTGTATATGTATTATGCTTGCTAGTTTTTTCATATTTTTTTTTTAAAAATAAAATCTTTCTTTCTTATCAAATTATAAGTTTTTGAAAATCAAAATGGATGATTCATCTCCATACGAGAGGTATGGTATGTCATTGCATGTCAATGTTGTTGACAATCCACCTTCGTTTTCAATGGGTTTAACTCAGGATTTTGAGATCAATGTACTATGGCAAAATCTAAAAAAGTTCAAGATGAACAATCTATTGAAGAATTGAGATCCAAGAAAAAAATGACCCAATGACAATTCAGAAAGTCATCAACAACGTGAAGGCTAGTGGCATTAAAATTGTTGAAGGAGGAAGTAAGAAAAAAGTCATAAACAGTGATTCAGAGGAGAGTGGATCTACTTCATCGGAAATTGACAAATCTGAAGAACATTAGGAACATGATATGCATGAAGTGTATGTTTATTTTCTGCTTAAATCACATTTTGTATGTTAATATTTGTATATTTTGTTAGTTATATACAATTTTTATTTTGAAGTCTATGTATAATTTCTACCTAAATGACACTTGTATATTGATATGTATTTATACAAATTGCTTGAAGTGTATATGTATATTTTTTGCTTAAATCACATTCGTATATTGATATTTATATATTTTGTTAGTTATATACAATTTTTGATTTGAAGTTTATATACAGTTTTCTGCCTAAATCACATCTGTAAATATTGATTTGTGTTTATACAAATTGCTTGAAGTATATGTATATAGTGATTTGTATATTGAGTTAATATATACAAATATTGCTTGAGGTATTTGTATATTTTGTATATTTAAGTACTATATTCATATACGCATACTCATATACATATAAATTTATAGTTATATACAAAGAAAATGCAAATACAAATATAACTTATTTATACAAGTGTTTTAGTTTTGTATAAAAACATATAATAATATGCAACACTTAACTGAAACATTTTGTATCTTTAATTTTTTTTATAGGGAATTAGATTCATGCGCAAACATCCAATTTTGTATATTGATATTTGTATATTTTGTTAGTTATATACAATTTTTATTTTTGAAGTCTATGTATAGGTTCTGCCTAAATCACACTTGTATATTGATATGTATTTATACAAATTGCTTGATGTATATATGTATACATATAAGTAATCGTATAAAATATAAAAAACTACTCGCATTAAAGAACACAATTGTATTTGAATCATATACAATACATAAATACAAATCGTATCATTCAACTTTTTTTCGAACAAAAAAATAGAATAGAATTGTTAATATACGATTTCTCTAATCTTGTATAAACGAATACAAATTTTTGCGAAACATTAGAATCAACAAAACAAAAATTATTCGTTATTCAAAATTTTAATTATATACTATACAAATCAATTGTATACTTTCTTGCCGCTTCAAAACATTAAGTTTCCTTGAAAGAAACGATTACCTGGCGTTGAATATACAAAATTATTGATTAAGGGGATACTTCAGTCGTTTGAGGAGACAAGATGTTATGGACTTTCTATCGCTGTAGAACTCTTTTTTGGAAAAAATATTTGATTTTGTATGTTTAGCTTAAATCATGGGATTATGTAAAATTTTTGTTGCCGTTTTTAGCGCTCATGATTCAATTTATTTAAAAAATAAATATTGTATAAATTTTTAACAAAAAAAAAATGTTATATACAAAATAAATGCTTAATAGCAAACTAAACTATATCCATGAAAAGTAATTATATAAATTATACCCATAGAGTGTTATTTTGAAAAATCTATTTGCTATAAATGAAATTTGATCTCTTTTTTCTTCTTCATATTTTAAGGTCGAATTTCTTTTTGTTTATTATTTGTTTATAAGACCTTATGACTTTTTTTCTTTTGGTCTGAGACCTTATGACTTTGACAAACCCGGTCTATTTTCCCTTTTATTTCGTTTAATAGTTGAAAATATTTATTTTTTTATTTTTTCGATAACTCTTTAAAATACAAAATCCTAATAAAAATAGTTCATACATAATTAGTTTTCAAAATTTTAAGCCCAAATCAATAAATTTCATACAATATAAAGATTTGTTGGCATATGTTGTTTTAAGTCTTTTGAAAGATCGCGTTTCATACTCTGGGATGAAATCAATCAATGTTGTGTCCTAATTGTCACTTATTGATTTAAAAAAGATAAATACTAATGAGTTTATAGATTTAAGTGAGCTCTCCACTTCATGGATTGGTGGTTTGGACTAAGCTTTTCTGATTAAATATATAATAATTGACATTAAACTAGGTCGAGCAACACCGTAAAACAACAACTCGTAGTGATTTTATAAAATAAGAACCTCATCATGAATAAGATCAAATTTAATTAACCAACCAACTAAATTAACATGTAATTTGAGTTCGTAATTACTTTTTGTATGACATAAAAGATAAAATGTAAATTAAAATGTGAAATATATGGAATCAAACAAAAATGTCAAATCTAGACCAAATCTTTTTTTCTTTATTCCAAATCTAATGCATCAAAAAATAAAAGATATGTAAAACTTTTTAACATCCAATAAACGAATAAACTTTTTCCAAAATCCCACGTGGACCTTTTGTCACGTGACTCCTCCTACAACATTCTCCACGTGTCCAAATCTAACGGTGAAACTCACGTGACTATCCATCTCACCAGAAAAAACCCCATTGACCCGATTTGATCACTTACTGAAACAAAATCTCCTTCTTTTTTAATTTACAAAATCACCCAATTACTTTTCATAATTATAAAACAACCC